TGTGGAGGATTAAGAATGATTAATTTGGAAATTGTGTGGGTGAGTGTGTGTGTCTGTGGGAGGGATGGGGCAGGGTGGGGCAGGGTTTAAGCCTTTTTGAAATAAGTGAATAACGTGCAATTGCCTTATATATTATATTTATGTACTTAATTGTTGCCAAGTTATATACTGCAAATGAGTTTTTGTTTAATTATGTTTATGTATAAGCAATTCATATCAATATAGAAAACGTTTATTTATTATATTCAATTGTATTTTTTTGTTTGTATAACACATTTGTAGAAAAAAAGAAGTAAAAAAAAGGGTGTGTGTGTGTGTGGATGTGTATATGTACATACAATGTGCCCATAAAGTGAAATAATTGTGACAGTACAGTTTACTTTGACAGATTTATAGATATATAGTTTACATCTTCCCGAAACTTTATTAACGAAATGTTCAAAGAGCGATAGAGTTTGATTAATAGATTGATGAGAAAATGTAAACTATATTTAAATCTATCACAAATAATCCATATTGTCACAATCAGTTGAGAATTTTTTTTCCAACTTTTTTGGCAACAGTGTAGTTATATATACTTCTATGTATACATGTTAATAAATATCTATATACCTTACAGCGTTATTAGAAGGACATATGTAGTTAAAAAATGAGTCATTAAGTAGACATAATCATTAGCAGGACATTGTCATGTCCTGTTAACGATTGAACAATACAATTACTGCCCTCTACGTATGTTTGCAGGCAGGGGAAACTTAAAGGCCTCCCAAGAAAGAAAAAAAAAATGTTAGTCATTAGTTTAATTAGTTATATTTTTTGGAATTTAGGGTTAGGATTAGGGTAATATACCAGTTTTGATGATGTATGGTTAATTCACCGTTGAGGGTTTAGATGTCCTGTTAATACATCATGTAGGTTTTTATATATATATATATATATATATATATACTATTGCATACCACTCATTTCATACTATTATCGTGGGAGTAACTACAATCTAAGACATTTTCGCAATAACGATTTAACATAGGAACATAAAGTTACGTGAACCCTACTGTTCAAGGAACTAAGTCTTGGAAATAGACTACCTAGAAACTTTCTAGTGGAAATGAAAAAGTCGAGAGCTTTATCAACAGCAAGTACGAGAATTTGAAGTGTGCCGTAATGGTCTAATCGAGTGCCCCTATTTAGTATTGTTGATACACTAATGGAATAAAGTCAACATAATAGACAAGTGTTATTCTACGTTATAATGGAAAAAGGCAACGGATTCTTTAAACAATATTTGCGGTATTAGGTCTTGAAATTAAATACTGCAATTCGGGGGTAAATATGAACAATAGCTGGAAAATGTTTGATGTAATCTTCACCATGTTATGATAGAGACACTTAACAATATCTTTTAAATTCATTATTCCATGGGTGAGACGTGTCTAAAATGCTTTCTTTGTATTTCTTTTATTCGTGTCCAACTCGACGTTCATAACCACCTCGTTTTCTTCATAATGAAATAAGGGGAACATTACTTTTAGTGACATTATGCTTTCAAATAAGATGAGGGTATACATATGATACTGATATAAATGAATAACTTTATAACAACATTATAAAACAGTTTCAAATGTGTCCTTTTTTGTGTCACTAGTTGTCCTGCTTATTGCTGTTCAGCATCCGCCTACAACATACAAGGCATGGGAATATAAGGAGGTCAAAATTCCACAGCGATGGTGTTTGCGAATACTGCTTTTCCTCCTGAGATAAAAGGCAGCAAAAAGGCTTTTAGATTAGAAACCTATTAAAAGTGAAGGGCTTTCGTAACTCCAAAATTAATTTTTTAAAGCACACAAGAAATCTTAAACAAAATACAATTATCTCTCTAAGTCCTAGTGAAAAGCTTATATCAAAAACTAAAACGTGACAATTATTTTATAATTATATCTGATCTGTCGTAATTAAGTAGATGTACGGTGTCGCCTTTCATTCTTGTTTCACAACTCCTTCAATTAGTTAATGTCGTTAAAGTCGATATGTCATTTAATATGTACAAAGGATATATTAAAGGTAATACAAAGTTTTGGGAAATATTGAAAATTGGCTGGATAGCGATTCTTCACAATTTTGATATATTTGGATGCCCCTTTGGATATATTATAAGCACTAGAGAATTTAGCTCCTAAAACACTTCTACTCTCGAGGAAAATGTAATATAAATTTTTACCGGTGCTCCCGGTTAATGTTGATAGATTTCAAATAGCGCCTATGGCCATACAATAGTAGCTGCGACCATGAAAATTTCAGAATATGTAGTTGTGATACATAATTTCCAAAAGGGAATAGTCAATTGGTCTATGTTAGTCAAGAAACATTGTTTTATAGCTTAATTATTATCTTGACCTTAAGAGGGAGCTATACAACATAAAGAGTTTATTATTTACAATTTCATAACTTTAGACTCAATTTCAACCGCGACAACGATCACTGAATATTTTAGGATCGCATATGCTTCCAATATGTTAATTTGAACCAAATTCATGACCCCCATACCCAAACTTTGTATTACCTTTAAAGGCACTATTGATTTCTTGGCAAAATTACGTGTTGGCATGAACAATAATTTCCCATTTCACAACGCCCCCTATCATCAGAGTCAGCAGCCTAACATGTTAGCCTATGGAATTTTACCCCCCAAAAAATCGTTAAAAATTCATTTTTTGTTTAAACGAAAAGCACATCCACCCCGACGTACGTCACCACTGGCTCTTTCATTGGAATCCTCATGTCCCATTGACTTTTGAAAGTTCACCCAACGTAAGTTGATCAAAATAGGTTGCAAGCTCGTCATTGCCTATAATACACATGTGAAACAAGTCGAACTTTGGACTCAGTTTGCCAAGCGATTTTAAGATTATAGGTCAAGCACACGAAGGATAAGAAGCATGAATTATCATAGATCACTTCTGCTTGGTTCATTATGCCCATTTCATCTAACCCCTACCGTCATTTTTCCATTTAGTAAAAGCAAACATTTTGACGAGGTAAGCAAAAACATGAATATTCATGAACGGTCAGACAATACAGCCTTTTACTACGTAACGTATGGTGAATGGGATGGGCGATGATCCGTCCAGGAGGTAGAGGTCAGTGGTTTGTGCTGGCAATGTTCCAGCGAGCGAAAATGAGACAACCGGAGCAATATACTCTGATATGTAATTATCATGATGATATCTATGGCTTTAGAGTTGCAGCAAACCGCAGTACGAATACACTTTTAGGTTCCGTTCCGTTTCGATCTGTTCACTAGCCGTGAAAAATAGCAACATTCAAAGACAGAGTCGTTCCTGGTTATCTTCCTTTAATAAAAATGTACAGGACAAAATCAAATGCACAATGAAAGACATACGTTCAAACATAAACTATACAAAAAACATTACAAGTACTATGCGTCAATCATATTTACCTCATACATTCAGGTACATGTATGTGTGACTTTACATTCTAAATTAATACTGAACAATTTAGCTTGATGTACGACCACGTCAAGTTGCCAAATACAACGTAGTAATATAAAACATTATGTGCCTATAAGAATGTAAGTAACGAAAACCCCAACATAAATTTGATAATATTTTTGTGCACGACAAATGGGAGAGTTGTCCATGACTACGTCAGAATGCACTGACTTATATTGCTAATTTAGTAACATTAATAACTTTCCTGTATCCCCTTAATATCATCCGGTTTATTTACAAACTTTCACCAATCTGTTTCTCTTATGTTCTTACTTTTATACAACAAAACTTATTACAAAGGTAGGATTGCCCTTCATGGCAGCATTTTGGTTTCATCTGTTTGTTCTAAAAAGCTCGTAAGTAAAAGAGAGGATGGATATGCATACCTGGCTGTCTCTGATGGTTATACAAAGCTAATGCATCCAATTGTTAACCACACATTGACTCTTACCAAATGGAACGACAAGGTCTTGAATTTCCTTTTAACAACTTTGATTCTGAAAAGAAAATCACTTAAGTCAAGATAATACGGAGCGACTGCTTGTTAGGTCGAGGCCTTACAATACTTTAGTCATTATTTGACCTGGTCAATGAACTCGTACTGTTACATGTGCGTGGGATAATTATGATAATCATTTAAGTCACGTGGCGACACCTGCCTAAAATACATTTTAAGACATACGTTCAACTATTGTCTTCAATGGTATATGATTTAATAGGCTTTACATATTATAAACAGTTGTATCGTTGTGTATTTCATAAGCCTTATCCTGTTCATTCTTGTATAGGCGTATATTGTACTTGAAATAGTTCATGATTATGAAATATGAACAGCATATTTCAAGGATATCTGCTCTCTTTTATCTTTACTTTCAGTTTTTATTATTCAATACAAATGTTCGATATAAAGAGATGTGTTTTTTATCAAAATGAAAACGGTATTCAATGTTATCTGTAAGAAATGTGATCAGTGCTTTATTATTCTAAATTGTATTCTTAGTATCAGAATTGCACTTTATCAGCGGAACTAAGTATCATTTGGAGGTCAGTTACATTAAATATTTTAATATAAACTTATAAGACGTAATATTAATTTCCTTCAAGGATATTTCATCTATAAAATTGTTCTAATATACTTACTATTTTTTGTACTGATTTGTACATATTCTACAACTAGAAAGGAACGTATTCGATTGGAACTATTAGGAAATAGTGTATTGATCTCATGCCCATGCTCGGCTCTCAAACTTATATTGATAATGTACACATCCATATGCATGCCCCGTCTTATATTTTGTTCATTACCGGTCACTGTCAATGATGTGAAAAGAATATGCCATCGGTTCAAGGAACCGCGCCCGAATCTTGTTTCCATATTCAATACTGAAGCAGGAAGTTTATGTGTGACTTGAATCACAAATGCTTCTTTTCTTATTTCCTCGATTCAATATTGTCGTAGAAGTGTTGTAGTCTAGTGTATATGTCACCGAACTGTGGACATAAGTATCATTATTGTTTTCTTCCACAGATACCTGTATCAGCCCATCGGGCAACGATTCTGTACTTTCTTCTGCTGCTTGTCTTTCTGGCTGTGTCCCGTAGCCATCAGGATGCCATGCCCAAGTACTGTTCCATGCGGTTAATACCTCGTTGGCTTGAAGAGGCCTGTGAAGGAAGGCAAGATAGGGATGCCAGTACACGTAGCACACACAGTGAGTAAAACTAATCTCTGTAGGGAAAAAAATATTAGGTAAAAAACTTTAGGGTACTTATGTGTCCAACCAACTCTTGGAATTATATGCCCGACTCGAGTCATTTGAGCTCAATGATTTATAACAATTAATAATTGGGTGTTGTAGGTCCATGCTTATACCAAGTATAACGAAATCAGTATTAATACTCTTCCCGTGAGCCCTGCAATTATTATTACCCCAGCAACTGCAAGGTACCCATTTACACCTAGGTAGAGAGTTTTTAATGTGGATAAATATCTTGCCAAATGACGTAAGTGCCGGGCTGGGATTCGAACCTTCATCCGACGGATTGAGAGTCAAGTGAATGAAACACTATACCACGACACAATATACAATGGAATATCTTGACTGGGTAAAAGCTTAATCAAGTAAGCGAAGGAATTACCCAAAGTTGGCCATTCACATCATTTGGGGACAATACATGTATATTACCCAATATAGATTTTAACATTTTCAATCAAAATGAAGCGGATAACAAATTTGTCAAAAATTTGTCTAGTACAACTACCACCTCAACTACCAGCTCGGACATTAGATCTTACCACAAACTGACTCTGATATGACCCAGGTTCGAAAGTGCGTCACGTCTTTCGGATGATGAGGTTAAAGGTCGGTCACAGGCGTGAATAATCATTTGTGACTGATACCTGTTTATGAAAACCCAATTTAATACACACTATTGCAAGTAACATTGCAATTTCCCCGATATCTATCTCGGACTCCTTAGGACAACTATTGCCTATTAAAAACAAAATCAACTTTCGAAGAAGTAATTCTCCTCTATCAAAGTAAGCGGTCATATTTGCAACTCTTTCAGTTATGGGGAGGGGGAGGGGCAGAAGCCCGGCAGAGGAGAATACATTTTGTTTTTGGTAATAAGTTGTCGATTGCAAGTTCTTTGTGGTTCTTGACTGGAGGTAATAGGTTATTTTCGTAATGTAACCAAATTTAATGCATACGTCTTTGTGAAGTGCCTCAATACAAATTATTTCATCCACCTGATAAAAATGATAGTATTTAAATAGACAGAATTCGAGCTGCATACATAATTTGTTGCCAGGTAGGACAAACATTATGACTTGACCTACCTAGCAACACTTAATATATGCATTTAGCATTCTGACTATTGAAATACTATTATTCTTATCAGGTGAATGAAATGATTTGTATTGAGGCACTTCACAAAGACTTATGCATTAAATTTGGTTACATTACGAAAATGGCCTATTGTCCGAGGGAGGTAGTCCGGTAATAGGCCATTTTCGTTGGGACCTCCCAATTTTAGAAAGTATTTTATTTCATTCATAGAAGCTGGTAGGGATGAGCATCTGTAAAATAATAACTACATGTCTTTTAATATTTCTTGTGAAATGAGAACTGAAAATGAACCAGACATATGAATCCAGCTTATCAGTTCCACGATTCCACACCACGTACAGGTGTAATGTTGTACAGGTGACCTGTATCATCAAATTTATTATTAATGACAAGTTACAATAACTGTTATAAGCTACAGATTTGTTCGCATTATATTGGTTGAGAGTAGATAAGTCATAAAATTCTAGCATTTGTCATTGATAACTCGTTTTTTCTAATAACAGGGACTATAGGTATAATTGATATTTATGTCTTTGGTCAAAGTTGTAAACATCTACAAATGGATTTGACGGAGAAACGCATTACCTAATTTCCTTTGCCTTTATTTGATTATCAAGAGGGGCTCTTTCTACTACAACTGTTTTATCATAGAAATTTGATTAAAGTTTGTCACCATCCACTTCTCTTTGATGGAGTTGAATACCCCTGTTTCACTCAAATTAATTTGCCTGATACACAACACAGACAAATAAGGTGGAATTCAATTCCGTGTTGTTTAAAACTAAGTAAACACCCACATGTGCGTCCTCACCCACTCAAAAGCATTATTCAACCGAGAGACCGCTAAATAAATGTAAAATGAAATGCAGCCTTCATTCAAGTGGTTGATGTTATGTTTATTCAAGCAAAATGAATCCTAAATGTTCTTAAATGGCAGGGTTGAAGAAATAAAAAGAGTTAGATATTTTAAAATAATTTTTTAATAAATTATTCTGGTCAATTTTATCATATGAGACGCAGTGTGTTAACAAAATAACCTCTTTGGAAATCGGAAAAAATAACTTTGAACTTTCATCATAATTTTGATCGACCGTTAGAATGTGTTGTCAGTATTTTACAATGGGGAGGTTTGTAGTTGTGCAGCACAACTTTTATTTACACTTTAAGTGGTCGACATTTACCGAATATTCACATGGGAATGATTGCATCTTCAGTTCTGTTTGATTGAAGTCTCAAAATTGAATATTGATTAAATCACAAATGAGAAACGTCTTTACTCGGAGACCCCAGAGATTCGAATATGTTTTATGCATATACATATCTTCCTACAATTTTTCTGAGAAAGACGATTATCTAGATAATCAATTATAATCAAATTTCCTCATCCATTATACACAAATTGACCATGCAGCGATGTATGTACGCGCTTTTATGAATTCATCCTTATTAATGTTGTTGTGATTATTGTTGTATTCTTGTCATTATGATTCGTATATTTTCCTCAATAAGGACTCGTTTCCTACATGATGTGGTGTAGTTATAATTAGAGGAACAGTGACCAGAATTATTTTACCTGGGCCGAGATTTATAACCACTCACAAAGAGATATTCGTATGTCATATACAGAATGAATACGAACTGGCAGGAAAACCGCCTTTATTCGTTTTCGTATATCTTTCTTTTTGGAGGATTAAGGACTATATTCCAAAACAAGAATAAAGAAATAAAAGTTACCTTTGTGCTCAGTACGTCCTATTTTGAAAACAATAGACCGGCTATTTTTTCTCTCCTCGTAATTAAAATAATAATAAGTAGTTCTTGCCCTTTTCATAATTTTAGACCAGCTATATAACCTATGGATTTGCATCATATTAGGTCACATTTCCTTTTCTAATCCCCTTTTCAGATGTGTGTTTGTCTCTCCCTCCCTTATTCTTTCAATGCACTCCGGGTTGGTCTGTCTTATCATTTCCTCTTATATTTGTCTCGCTCTCCTCTCTGTGATATTACTGCTTTCTTTCCTTTGCATTTGCTTTGTACTTTACACTCGATTGCTTTGAAATTATTACGAAAAGAGTTTTTAAAATATTTTTGTAAGATTGTGAACAAGTGATCAGAGCAGAAACCGTTTAACAGGAAACTAATTTCTTTCGGCTATTCTCAATATAATTTTTCTATTTCCTTGGAGATAAATATTGACATAGGCCTATATACAATAATCGCAATAATTACCATTTAGATGAGTTCGTTTTCCAACAAGCTTAGATGATGGGCTGACAAACTGTTGGCAATTAGAAAGCAGAATCCAGTCATGTTTTAAGCTTCAAGAAATCATTATTGGCCAAGCTCTAAACAAATTATTGTTTATCCTTTGGCCTGTTCGGTCTGTAGTTTTATCCATAAATTTTGGATCTGGGGGAGTCAATCTCTGCTTACCAGGTCAAAGGCATTGTTTAGGTCAATGAAGGCGATAAAGACGGGCATCTGCTTTTCCCTACACTTCTCCTGAAGCTGTCGAAGAGAGAAAATCACGTCAAAGGTAGACCTTCAAGCACGGAACCCGCAATTTGACTCGGGGTAGACATTCTGGGCCTTTTTTTGGAGACGAACCAAGATAACTCGGTCAAAGATTTTTCCTACAACACTTAGGAGGGAGATGATCCTGTAATATGTATCATTCGTCTCGAAGCATTCTTGCTTCAAAGCAGTCATTCCTCTTTGGTATCCATGCTGTTATAGGCAGTACATAGTCTCTCGTAATTTTGTTTCCTCTGATTTGAAAATGAACGAGTCTCCAGGTCGGGCGGCTGTCCGCGCATCTTCAAGGAATTTAGAGAACTGGTCAAATTTCTCTGGTAGTTGCATCTAAGCGATACCAATGCGTGGCTTTCCATCTTGTATGGAGCGGCAAAACTTCTTTGGTAGCAGCCTGATTTTGCAGCATATCAGTGAATGATCAGTGTCGCAGTCGGCCCTGTGGTATGATCGTGTGAGGAGGACAACATTAAGGTATATTCGTATGACAAAAATGTTGCTTCGATCTTGGGTGTCTCCGTGAAACCTTATGCTTTGGCTTGAACTGGAAGATTGGGAGATTGAGGGAGCACCAGAGCTAGAGAAGACGTTGTCCTTATTGATCTTGCCTCTTGCTCAAGCAGGATGGCCAGGAGTCGTGATCGGCACCCCCTTGGGCATTGAAATTACCAAGAAGAATTACATGCTCCTGACTCGGGGTATCACTGATGGCTGTCTCCAAATTTATGTTGAACTAATCGTTTTCCTCGTGCGTGAAGTAGAGACTATGGAGGCGGATACGCTGGTGAAAGTGACTAGGCCGTCAGAAGTATAGGGAGTCGGAGACTCAACAAACGTTAAGATCAATTTTTATTAGGTTTTTAATTTTCAGCATGCTATTCCTGACAGCAAATCCTACTCCATGTTCTCTAGGAGCATCATGTCCCTTACCTTTCTAGAGGAAAGTATAAACTTTCTATTTAAATATGCCACTATCTGCAAGACGTGTTTCCTGAAGTGCGGCTATGTCCACACCGTGGTGTCTCCAAAGTTCATCATTGATCATGGCTGTCTTTTGAACATCGCTGGTGTCCTGAATATTTCCATGTATTCCGGTCCACGTGGTACGCACGTTCCATTATGCTAGAGCGCCGCAATGGCAGCACAGCTAAAGCCGGGGTAATAATCTCCAAGTTTAGAAGCGCTTAGTGATTCTAATAAGCGCCATATAAAAAAACTGAGTATTGTTATCATTATTATTTTTATCTTTAGAGTAGGTCTCTGTTTCGTTTTGGGGTTGTTTCTTGTTCGGTGTGAAAGGTGGGAGAGGATTTTGGATCTTGACTTTACGACTACCGCATGCCTTAAAGGCATCGTTTAACAATGGTAAATCTGAGATACACGGCCCTAAGTGTTATCAGTGTCTGTGATATGGTGTTATATTGAAGCCCTAAAAAATTTGCGCTTCAAAATGATCAAGAAGTGCCTCAAAAAAGTAAAAATCTTTGAGTGACCGGTTTTACCATACTCGTTTATCCCAATAGACTGTAGTGGTATGAAAACTGCCGGTTTCGATTTCCAGTCATAAATATCTTGATAATCAGACAGGCGATCGGCTTTTAAAAGTCATGGGGTTCCTGAATGACCTTAAGAATTATGATTGTCATTGCAGCATGAGCTAAATCCAGGATTTTGTTTCAGAATCTGAGGCAAAGTTACCGGATCCCTTTAAGGTGGGAAGTCCTTAGTCAATAATGTGCTGTCCCGCCGCAGTCTACCTTCCTCACTAGGTGGTTGGAGATTAGGAATTATCCCCGGCCAAAAAGTGGAGTTTACGTGTATATATATATATATATATATATATAATTGTTATTTTACAGAAAACAACAACGACAACAAAAACCATGTGAAAAAATTAAAACAATAAACACAAATATTAGTCAATAAAATTCGTGAACATATTTTCGAAAGCCTTTAGCTGATTGGAGATGTATCCAGAGGAAGAACGGGTTTACTGCATACTTAAGCACCCGTAGTGCCCAAGTAATAACCGTAATTGATCTCATTTTCATGCAGCCATATTTCGGTCACGAATGAATTCACAAGGTTATCCCCCGGATTGAAAATGAATGAATATCATTGATTTATTTCTTTGCCGTTTATGATTGTTTTCTATTTCTCTTTCAATCTCGTGTTTTTTTTAAATTTCTTTGATGAGTCTTCCTCAACTGAATATTTGAGATGTGCTGAATAGACGTCTGTTAATGACTGGGCTGTCTTAGCACGTGAATAATGTCCAGTTCATCAGAGAATTCGAATCGAACATTGATTACACTTTGAACTAAAAAGTTGTACACGCCAATTGCATATACTAATTGTCTCTTTTTTGTTTGTTATAGCCGTTTTACTTTTATTAGAGCAACGTATATTATCTCTCGAGCTTTCGTGGGTTATCCTGTTCAAGCTGATTTAATTTGGATCTGTTAATCTTGTATATTGTTGTATGTTGGAATAAAAACCAATCATCAATTAATCTATGTTTAATTTAATCGTATACAAACAAGTCATATTTATAACAAATGGCCCGCGGGACATTGTTTGAGCCTACTACAGATATCTCTTATAACAATGTTTCGAATACTTACAAACCAAAATATTGTTCATCTTTCACAATATTCCTTATATTATACTTTTATTTTGTTTGCATATATTAGGAAGAAGGCCTATTACCCAAGCCCCAAGATATGGAAAGCGGAACTGGGATTTTGAAGGCAAGAAGTCATCATGGTCCCCATTATTGGATAGAGATCTTCGAGAAAAATACACCCACATCCTCTCTGGCGATTCGCAGATAAGTGATCCAACCCGATTTGTGCCTGCCTATTTTTCGTCGTCGTCGTCGTCATCATCATCATCATCGTCTTCAGCCTCCACATCGAATCCACATCTTCTTCGCCATCGAAATCGACTCGTAAGCATAGACGCAAAAAGCTATCTGGAATCAAGAGAACATCAGCACAGGAACGATGTGCTGGAACGTATACAACGGAAAGCCCGGATACCAGTGGGGGATTTAAACACCTTTACTACGCAAGCTATAAAAGAGACCATAGACAAAATATTGAAGTATGGAGCAAGGAGAAATGCGAGGACTGTGAGGGAGTCGTAGTACTATGTTACAATAATCATGTACGATATGTATTTGGGTGCTCTTACTTTCTGTTTCTTTTATATTCCATGTAAAGTGTGTCTTTGTAACGTATTTGAAATATATACACCCTGCGTATTGAATTGTTTTGAAGCGGGAAGATTGCTCGAAGGTAAGGTCATTGGCCTAACTTCGATTCAGTTTTAACTGCGGATGAGTCCCCTTCAGATTAGAGATATGTCTCCGTCGACGTTCACGTGTATTAGTTAGAAAATGATATTTACTTTTATGAGTTGATTACAAAACCTGTTTGGGAGACGGTCTTTTTTTCACAATCATGTAGGCATAATTATGGTAATCGGGTAGCCCAGGGCATCCCCATTTCTCCCCAAGTATCTGATTGTGAAATTAAAGAATCTCGCAACACTGAAAAAAGGCGGAAGCTGAAAAATACGTAACATCAATACACATGTGGGGCAAATGTTTGACTATTACATATTAGTCATCATTGGGACACTGTTCTGACTACTTTCATCAAAGAGTTGTTTTTTCTTCATTAGGATATTCGGTAAAGTAAAAGCCCGTGCAGCAGTTAATACTTTCCCCAAATGTGAACCTTCTTTTTTTAAACAATTGACCTATTATCTGAAATAAGAATCCCATATCAAAGGGTCAGATGTTATGAAAAAGGCGGGTATTACAAAAAAAAATACGAGTAGATTCATATTTTCTGGTATATGGACCTGCGCATTGACAGAATACACAATGGGAAGCTTTTTCCCGAAGAAACTAATTTTAGCATTTTTTATGAACATCGAAGAATTCCTTGAAGGTTTGCTCAAAGAACATCTTGCGATAGAAATTGCATATTTGTCAAGATAGTCTGTTTAATTTGTGTTTTGTGATATGCATTCTAATCATAAAAAATAAAAAAATCATAACTGAAAATCAAATTAAAGTATATGAACGAAGCATTTTTCAATGAATTGCCGTTTTTTTTTTGATTGATGTTTGTGTCTTTCCATGATAATCTCCTCATAAACTCCTACATAAAATATTATAAAAAAGAATATTTCTGCTTATATATCTGGCCTCTATCCATCAATAGAGTCATCAACTAAGTTCATAAATGTGTCGTAAAATATTTTACTACTTCAAAAGAATTTGCACATAAGTACCCTTACTCCTGCCTTCACTTCTTTTATGACTATAATTACTGCAAATTATAGCCCCAATACGGGGGGGGGGGTCTAATGTATGACCGGTTGAATAGGACAAGGGGTTTAAGAGGTGCTTGCTCCCCCTACTTCTACTACTATTTCTTCTTTTCCTCCTCCCCGACTACTTCTATACTGCTACTACTTCTACTACAACTACTACTACTAGTACTAATCTTAATATTATTACTACTTTTATTTCTGCTACTACTACTACTACTACTACTACTATTATTAATCTTATTATTACTAATACTACTACTACTACTACTAGTACTACTACTACTACTACTACTACTACTACTACTACTACTACTACTACTACTACTACTACTATTACTACTACTTCTTCTACTACTACTACTGCTACTACTACCACTACTACTAACTACTCCTCCTCTTCCCCCTACTAAAACAACAACTACTACTACAACTACTACTACTACTACTACTAATACTACCAATCTTACTATTGATCCTACTACTGCTACTACTAATACTGCTACTAATTCTTCCAATCTTACTATTGATACCACTACCACTACTACTGCTACTACTACTACTACTACTATTATTATTACTACCTTTTCAAGTATAACCACACCTTCTCCTCTTCCCCCTTCTACTACTACTTTGAATACTCCCACTATTAGTATTACTGTATGTATTAAGGCATAGGGTCCTCTAACATTACTTGTCTGCCCCCCTAAAAAGGGGTCCAAATTGTTTGTCAGGGATTAAATTGATTTATCCCGTGAGCTTGGAAGTTTATTTTTTACCAATACTACTACTATTAATTTGATTAATACTAAGACATTTACTTCTACTATGTTACCACACAACCACTTTTACCAGCCATTATATCCTCTCTACTACTTCTACTACTACTACTACTACTACTACTACTACTACTACTACTACTACTGCTGCTACTACTACTACTACTACTATTACTACTATATCTACTATTATATCCTGCATCAAAAACGTACCGCTTTTTGATTGGTTGAGAGCTCTTCACGTGACCAAAAATATTTCAACCATTTTAAGGATGCTCTGAAAAAGTAATATTTGGTAGTTGAATAAAAAATAAATTTCCAAAAAATGAATTTTATAATTTTGTTAGATATAAAAATAAAAATTGTTGGTGGATTTGTTGTTGTTAATGCAGGATATAAAATAAATATGTCCTGCCTTCTTGTCGAAAAACTGGTTAAACCTTTGGACTTCGGTGACTCAAATAGTACCGTTTGCTTCGGGGCTGCGCCCCTCAGAAAAGAGTATTATTGGAGTCAATTCTTGCCCTTAGTTTCAACCAGAACCTCTCAAGACATTGTATATTGGTATACTATTACTACTGCTAGTGCAACTACTACTACTACTATTAATATTACGTCTACTTCTTCCTCTACTACTACCACTACTACTGCGAATACTTCTATCAATATTACTTATACTACTTTCACTATCACAACCACTACTTCTACAACTTCTACTATCATTACTAAAATTTAAACTACTACTTTCACTACTACTACTACTACTACTACTACTACTACTACTACTACTACTACTACTACTATTACTACTACTACTACTGCTACTGCTACTACTACCGCTGCTGCTACTGGTGTTGTTACTACTACCATCACTAATTATACGACTATGACTACTACTACTACTACTACTACTACTACTACTGCTGCTACTACTACTACTACTACTACTATTACTATTACTACTACTGCTACAGGTACGTCTTCTTCTACTGCTGCTGCTACTACTACTACTACTACTACTACTTCTAAAGCCTGGTAATAATATGCTTGCTGTGCCCTCAGGGAGAAGAGTATTAAGACTGATGACGCTACCCTACGTAACCGTCACATATTATTATTATAACAATTATTATTATTACTTCTAATCTTATTACTTCTACTACTTATAATACTTCTAGTACTCCTACTATCACCACTACAACTACTACTACTTCTACAACAACAACAACTACTACTACTACTACTACTACTACTTCTACTACTACTATTTATATTACTTGAACTACTATGATTATTACTATGAATATTAACATTAACATTACTTCAACTACTTCTCATACTACTTATCCTGCTCTTTATACTACTACTGCTACTACGACTACTGCTATTACTACTACTACTACTACTACTACTACTACTACTACTACTACTATTATTATTATTACTACTACTACTACTACTACTACTACTACTACTACTACTACTACTACTACTTCTACTACTACTACAACTAATACTAATACCAACACCACCACCACCAACACCACCACCACCATCACTTCCATTATCACCACAGCCACCACAACTGCTGCTGGTGCTGGTTCTACTGCTATTGCTACTACCATAGTACTAATATCAATTCTACCATTACTAATTATGATACTATTTCTTCCTCTCCTTCTTCTTATTCTGCTACAACTACTGCTGCTGCTACTGCTACTTTTACTGCTTACATATTGCTATTACTGATTACTATTGATAATCATACTTTAACTGCAACTATCACTACTATCTACTATAACTCTGTCTGTTTCCACTGTAATCAATAATGAAAGCACGGTTATCAATCATAGAATATGTCAGGCTCTTGCGTTTCTTTTCGTCATCTATATACTACCTAAAATATTTTTTTACGAATATCATTTTCGCTTTAACTTGCACACTTTGAATGACTAACAACTTAAACCTACAAATACCTGTACCAACAAACGTCACTTGTACTAAATTATCTTGTATACCTCATTGTAAACTATACATTTTAAGGTCTTTGAAGCTAAGTAAGCAGCTACTTCTCTGTGGTCACAATTATTAGATGTGTATGTGTCATATAGGTTATATGCATTACAACAAATCAGTATAAGCTGCTGATCCAATCAAAAACACAATCCATTAATCTTTGAGCATGTCAGTGGGAAATCTTTATGTATATCTATTCATATTTTCTTATGGAATGATTGTCCGTTTGAATGAGCTGTAAAGCTGTATATCATCCTTAACATTTGAAGGCGGCTGGGGTCTTTGAACGAACATTCCACATCTCGTAATAACTCTCTCCTATAACATTGACGCAGAGGCAGCTTTGGGAGTATGCCAGGTAGTGTCTGGATTTGCTAATTTCTGTTGCACACGATGCGTCATTTCGGTTGCGTTATTGCTTGCGCCAATCGACCTGTAAATTTTATAATTCCATGAGCCACTAATAAATGTTTGCGCTTTTCAATTCGCATTTACTTTTAAAACTTAGTCATTTACATGACGCATAACCAATAGATTGTGCCATCCAGTATCGCTAGTAAGTCTGGTGCACCCGCGGCGTCCTTTCCTGACGTAAGATGGAGTCAGGGATTGACTCTCTCTCTCTCTCTCTTAGGTGTGCCATGTGGGTGTGTCATCACACAAAAAGGAAAGGCTAAATGTACAATGAGTTAATAGCGCTGAATTACTGGCAATAATTGCCTTTATAATCTTGACAACTAACGGGCATAAGAATTTCTAACAATACAATGCATACGGTGCATCTGAAGGAACATAACATTATTTTTTTAATGGTTTAGGTAAAACGCTCGAGAAAAAAAAGCTGTGGCTGATCTCCTTAGCCAAAATATATATTTTACCAGAGGCCATTTATATCCCTGAGCCTGCAAGTGAGTTCACTAATCTCAGTGCTTCAGGATGTGAGTCTTTGTGTTGTTCCCTTTAAATCAGGCCAGGTAAACATGCGTTAAGCATCACCAGTAGAGTAAATATTGCCAAATCTATATCGATAGAAATCACAGATACCACATACAGGCGATATGTATTTGGTTTTATTGTAGCCTTTCCCACCGATGGAGCGAATATAATTCTCGTCCATTAATTCTCGTTGGTTGATGGATGAGGATGAGTTGATTATCATCTCTTTGCGATATTGTACGTTTACTCATTAATCACAGCTGTCAAATCGATGATGATTAATGATCTGTATAATGAAATGGTCGTAAAAATATGTTTGTGTGGACCATATGTTATGCCATATGAAATGTAACAATAAAAAGCACTTTACATATATTCTAATTGTGTCTTTATTCTTGTTGTTGGCATGAGTGAATCTGTTATCATATTAAAACAAATGTGCACACACCCATACACACGGTTTTCATGATCCTGATTATACCACTTTATATCACCAGTACGTTCTACCATAACAACGATATGCCATAATAGATTAGAAATTAATACACCAAATGTGCTCATATATAAATCCATTTTTTCTGATAATGTGTATTCAAATACAACCATAAGTCGAGTGTAATAGATATGCATATAGATGTTACCATCTGACATAAGTATATTTTTCTGATGGATGATTTTAATAAAAATCCATAAATGTCATCTAAGGATTCACGCTCTGTTCAAATCAATTTAAAAAGAAAATCCACTTGCCCTTATAAAAAACAAATCGTGTCGTTCAGCATAGATTATAATATGTAAAAATTCATTTTAGGTTATATATTTTTTTCTGCTAATACATAACCCCTGGCAGGTAATAGTTAACAATTTTTCTTTGTCTGAAGGTGGATTATGAAACGACCTCTTAAATTCAGGGGCGCGTCTATTTAGCCTGACCCAGTACATACCAAGAAAGGTAATTTG